AACGGCAGAGCCACTATGCTTCCAAAAGAAATTGGCTGAAATTTATTTTTTCCAGCGAAACCGACACTGAACAGGAGATGAGATGACCTGACAATAAGCCCGTTGGTGGCACGGTATGCAATCAATCCATGAATACCCGATCTGTCAAAAGAAAAACATCACATCGTCGGCTAAAGTCTCTAAAAACATTTACTTCTGCTTCGCGTGTCCCACACTTGGGTTCGTATGCCGTCAGAGTCATTGAACGCTTTCTGGAAAAAATGGAGAAATAACATAGATGCAAAGCCAAAATGTTTCAGTATTTGCGAATCAGTTGCCAGTGAACACAGTGCATTTAGCTGCAGTGTAAACAGCTTGAAAAAATGGCGGTGGGCAAGTATCAAAACAGATCCTCATCCTCATCGTCACCAATACACGACAAACGGTGTTGTGCTCTTCGTTGAATGCATTAGCAAAAAAGTCTTTGACGATTCAAGGCGTTTGCCATGTGCGTGTAATAATGCCTGAAAAAAAACATCAACACAAGCAATAAAGAAGATTGGGAATATTGGAACGAAATTCGATATCGAGACGGTATTGAGTCATCAATTAGGTTTCAATTTGGGACAGACAAGAGAATGTTTATCAACAGGCATCCGAAGGATGGAGTGTTATTAGAGCTTCTCATATTTTTTGACACTATAGCCAAAAAACATCAGATTTATTGAGCAAAAGTGATTAGAATTGCGAAATTTTGGCACGGTTCAACTATGCATTTTTTTGCAAACATTTTGGCTTACAACTTGCCTATAGTTGGTCTGAGATAAAGCTGCAATGAGAACGAATTTACTAGCTATTAATGTACGAAAGGCGCGTAGGGGATAATGTTACCGAAGCTGCGTAAAGATTATCGGAGATCCTGTGAACAGTCAAGAGCGACTAATCCTCCAGACTGTCCTCTACAGCTTCGAATTTCGCTGTCCACCTTCTGAAGGTCGTTTCTGCAACCGTATCACTGCCCCAAGCAATATTAATCTTGCGCACCGCCTCACTAGCATCTTCCGCTGCGTGTCATTCATGCATTAGCAGCAAGCGACAGTTCCATCTTGAAGCAAGTATAGGCAAGTTGTATATCAAAATCTTCACGACAAATACACAATTGAACGAGACCAGAATCATACACTTTCAATTACTTCTGATTGATAAATCTGGTGTTTAATGCTCCAGTACCAAAATTTATGAGAAGACCTCATTCTAAGCAAAGGCGAGAGGGAAAGGGCCATTATCATTTTTTTCCGTGTTTCACTGAACCTCGATGTGGATTACCAAAGTTTTTTTCATACTGATGAGCAGGCAGAAGGGTTAGATAAACTCTTTCACTCATGGCAGTTCATTCGCACAACGATCCACTTCCACTCAATTTGTCTCGCTGCGAAAGCTGGTAAGACCAGCATCTCAAGAACAACTGCTGTGCACACTCCCACTGGAATCATAATGGCTCTGATGAAGGTGAAACGCCCGATACGTTAACAGTAATGAAAGAGGATTATGAAAACCTCTTATTATTTTATCGATAAGGGCACATTATCAAACCAAAAACAACTGCTTTGAATAAATTTGACCCACTCCTTACTATTTGATTTCCTAACGAAATGGCTACGAAAAAGAGAAGTCTAGAAGATAGAACGGTGTGTTCTTGGTAAAGTTAAGAGACAGAGCAAGGCAAAAAATAAAGCAACAAACTCAGCAGCTGATTCAAAAAAAAAAAAACTAAATCGGGTCACAGTAATTAGGAGATCTGGAAACTGTGATATGGATTTCAGTAGCTCACATCTTCATCAAGTGTATGCAAATAAGTGAGACAAAGAAAAAGAAAAAAAGTAGAAGCCGGTAAAAAGAAAATGGGAGAAAGAGAGCAAGCTCGCTTATGTCTTCTAGTTGGACGTCTTCGCACGTTGCCCAGGAAATGTGGGACAATTAGTAGAACTTACTAGAACATGGATAAGGTTTTTATGAGTGACGAAAGTGAGAATAACTTGTTCCTAACTGATAAATCGTTGGCAAGAATGGGATGGCCACTATTGGAATTTGCTTCCGTCTGAAATCGTGGGAGTATGGGTATAGCAGAGTGATCCTTTCTACCAAAAGAGAACACTCAATTTCACCGAATGAATTGCCAGATTTTACAAAATAATTCTGCAATGAAGTGCTAAAGATTAGTCAGTATAGCACTGAATACTCACCTTTCTTGTTAATAAACTTTTGACCAAATTAACCACACGAAAACCTCAGTCCTTCTCTAAAATAATCCTTAATGTGTAAAATTTCAAGTTCCTAACAAGCAAAAGATTGCCGTAATTTTTCCCACATACGTTTGCCTCACAGTTCATTAGGTGGCTAAAAACTCAGCATAGAATGAAAAGATACGAACGATTTTGTACTGCACAAAAGCATGAAACACTCTTATGCCAAACAAGACGACTCCTCTATTTATTCTCTAATGTCAAGATAAAGCGCAAGAGTCGTACGAAATGTATGAAAAGAATTTGGCTCACCCTGACAAATCGCTTAATCCTCGCCTTTTCGAGGTGTGTGTTATCACTGTGAGAACTGTCGAAAGCCTAGAGAAAAGAGTTCATCATCTATGGCAATCAAACAAAAACGTCATTCTTGCTCAATTCATTCAAAACACTGGCAAGTGCTAAGTTCACCAGAACCTAATGATTTGCTTGTCGAGCTCACAACTTCCATCTAAGTTGAACCATCGCTTCTATTGACTTTCCCCTATTTTCCATTATGCTTGCGCACATCAACTTCAGTATGTCATTAACAACTGGGACGTTTCTATTAGCTATTCACCCATCTACTAACCGCTCTTTTCGTTCCTTCAGCAAGAAAGGTTGTGACCTCAAGATTTTGCCGCTTATGAGTATAAACGTAAAATAAGCTGATGATGTAGAGTGATGCGCAAAACATTTACGCCAGGCGGGACCGGAACCCGCATTTCATCCAGCCCGGGACGCGCGCGTCTATCTGCTGTCCTCATGGGCGCCTGTTTAGGTGCATCGTGGCGTAGAAGGAGTGGTGTCAAAACAGGCGTCAGTGGTGCAAAGGATGGGACGCGCGCCTTCGTACAAGGTGACATGCGGCTTCAGGTCCCACCTGACGCAAATGTTTTGCACATCACTTTACACCATTGGTATATATAGAACATCATACCACCACTAGAAGCGTTCAAATAATTAGAATTATGTTTGATGATCTATACACGGAGTATTTGAGTATTGACGACAATGATGGTAGCTGTATGCCAAACAACTTGCGGTCGTTTGTGCACCACGGCAACCTGAGTGTTTGGAAATGGCTCTGACCTTGTCGAGATAATTGCAATTGACACTGACCTGCTCGTGCACATCTGCGGAACACGGTAGAGGTTAAGGTTGGTTTACTGGAATAAGCTTAAAGTAGATCAATCGAAATAGTGAGGATTGAGCGTGGTGAACACGGTAAACACAGTACTCCTAGCGGCCAAGCAATAACTGCCTTTTACTATTGTGAATCGTGTTTATGTACGAACTATCAAAAAAGACCTTGCCAGATGAGGTGCTACATTAATACCATGGTTTAATAAAATATCTAAGCACACAAAGGGTTACAAACGCACAACGGATGAGAAACCAAGATGAGGGCCCAAAATTGAGTAAGCACAAAGTGACAAGCGCTACTCACAATGGGAAAATGAACACAAAGGTCTGCCACCTTTGAGTTTGTTCGCCGGTACCGATCACATTTACTAACTAAAATATGCCCAATTGCAGACTTACAAGCAACAGGCATGGAGGCAATCCGCCTAGCAGGATAAACGCGAGCAGAATGGGAGAATACAGGTGCGAATGCAACATAGTAATTCATGCATCATTTGCTAGAAAATCAAAGAGAAGACGTCGTTTTGAGTGAACATTCGCGGATTCATGCCGCCACCAATGGATAACAGCAAAGACTTACGTATCAATGTTCAACTTGAGCAGCGAGTTAGAATAACGAACGTGACAGAGGTCAAGTTGGAATTATCACTCACAAATAGACTAAGAGAAACAATAGAACAGCCTTATTGATTTTGGACTATTACCCATCTCTGGAGGGTATATAGCAAAGTGAGTAGATGTGCTGCGTGATTCCCTGGCTTACTAGGCCGACCACTTTGCTGTCGTCGGGAAATACAGCCAGGCTTAAAGAAGGATCACCGCAAAAAAACTTTGACTTGTTTGCATACAAATATAAACTTACACACCTCTACGATTCTCCCGGCAAAATTGAATCATAGGGCATCCTTCAAGGTCTAATCCAAGTCAAGCTTCTTACCGCTTCAGCCTTCATCTTTTCTTCACTAAAGCAGCAAAGCTTTTTGTGGCAATGATGAAGCTATTACTTTAACGTGTTCAAAGAAGCATACATGCTTTTTATGTTTGCTCACGCTTATACCAACTTAATTCGAGTGGTGACCTTTTCATTGACAACATTTTTTTCTATTACATATTTCTTTTTTCTTTCTTTCTATTTTTTCTAAATCCACCTATCTACAGTCTACCAACAAGCGCGACCATTGGACAGATATTACATATTGATCGTACCGCTAACCATAAATATACATAACATTTCTTATATCAAAAGAGATTCATTGTTCTTAAGTCAACAAGCAAATCATTCTTCCTCGATAGCTTTTTTGAGTAATTGAACTATTATTACGGAAATTTTTACGAAGAAAAAGGAAAGAAGAAGAAGACCTCAATGAAAAATCGTAAAAGTTTTTATCTTCATGGTGGAATATTTGCCTTAGAGCACTGTTTTGCCTTTGCCAAATTAGTTCCGGTCAAAAACTGTTGCTAGCTTTCAAATCAACAACGTACCTTTTGACTGAGTGAACGGTAAAGTGAATAAACAGAATTCTTTTCATTTAACCGCTTTTAACAGTGGTATAGTGACATAACATATTCAGTGATGCAGGGTAATGTGCAGAACTTTTGCGTCAGTGGGACTCGAACCCACATCCCACCCTACTCGGGGGCGTGTGCTCAAAGAGTTGCACTACCGGTGCCTATTGACACCATACTTTTTACGCTACAACGCATTTATCTTTCAGCAACCAACCGTCAACAGTTTGGCAGAGGCAGTCACTATCAACACTGAACCCACCCACACTGACAGATATTGGGGAATAGATGAATATGATTGAATTCCTTTATTTCACCGCTTTCAGCGGCGATATGACGTTATAACAGCTTAGAATAGGGAAAAAGGAAGGTTCGAGTCCCAACTGATGCAGAGTTTTGCACATCACTCTACATCACTGGGTAAAGTGAATAATTTAACAACCTCGGAAAATTCTATGTAAACTTCCATTTTTCCCGAAATCTAAAAGCAACTGCTTACGTCTCAAATTATTGTGTAAAATCGAAATGGAAGGATAAAAGTATGCAAAACAACTCTACGGGACTTTAAATGTACAACAAATTTGAAGGCACTCAAGATTTTGTTCATGAACTTGTAAAATATTCCGAAGTCTCCAATAGTACATGTGGAATGTAGTGGTTGCCGTCATGCGATTGATTATTAAGAGCGTTCAAAAATGGATCACAGTGAACGATCTCCTCAAAATCACAACCACAGACAGTAGATATCATGGTTCTCTGCACTTAATACCATTTTCCTCGTCGGTATAACAACGACATCCGTCTGTTCTCAATAAATCTAAAACATGTGATGCTGAGTGATGTGCAGAACTTCTGTGCGGGACTCGAATCCGCATCTCACTCTATCCGGGAGCGCCTGCTCGAACTCTTTGCATAGCATTCACTCTTTCTACGCTACAACGCATCTATCTGCCAGCAAGCAACCGTCAAACGTAAAATCTGTCAGCGTGACTGAAATCAACGCCGATACCGACTACTTGGGCCAAAACGGTGACCGTCAAACCCAATACTGATGATTGTTTGCAGGCAGATAGATGAGTTCTACGTAGAAAGAGTGATGGCAAAACGGGAGCCACTAGTACAACGGTTTTATAGCACGTGCTTCCAGGAAGGGTGAGATGCGGGTTCAAGTGCGGCTTGACGCCAGATTTTCACATAAATCTACTTCACTGAGTGCATCTGCCACATCATATTACCGCGATTAATCAAAAAGAATTCTACTGAATCAAAATCGTCAAAACGCAGGCCATGGAAGAGCAAAGCGACAGTAAGTAGAATCGAAGGAGATTTGGGAGTAAAGAGCTCAGGAATCAGGATAGGTTCCATGTTCCAAGGTAATAGAGATGACTCAATATACATTTCACCTATTTACAATGACCTGCGTGCGCTCCGATGAAGGACAGCGAGTAAAACCAGTACCAATTAGCTATACTTGCCCTGTCTAAGGCACGGTGTTGAAGCAGTGAGCACATTTGCATTGCAGAACAACTCTGTCCACTGCACCACACTCCTTCAATGCATTAATTCAAACAAATTACATCAGATTCCACATATTCTCCTCTGACCTATAGGAACTTGTGTCTTGTACCAGGACGAAAACTTTATTTCAGAGTTTGAAAACATCTTTCTAATGGCGGTTTCTCAAAAACGTGCCTAAGCTCTAAAGCATGACGAACTGGAAAATTTAATTTCTCCTTTTCTTCTTATGCCAGACACGAGATGTTATAATAATCTTTTTCTGATAGCACCTCGATTATTGTAACACCTCGCGCCTGGCTTAAGAAGAAAATAAGGAAATACTGAAGCATGCCGAAGTTAATGGATAATCGGTATTGAGAATTGAGAAAACAACATAGGAAGAGGAGAACTCGCCTTGTTCTCGTGGAGGGCAGATTGACGGGGGGGGAAGGGGGGTTTATTTCATTTCCACAATAATTAGGTGTGTAGCAACGGGGCTGGCCCGCCGTTGCTAGTAGTATGGTTGTGGTGACCGGTGTCCGAAGAGTTCGGTCGATGCACCAATATAGCAACGGGGTTGACTCGCCGTTGCTAGTAAGTTGGTTGGCGATCCGTGTGCGAGGAGTCTGCCAATGCACCAATGTAGCAACGGGGTTGGCCCGCTGTTGCTAGTGATATGATTGTGGCGATCGGTGTCCGAAGAGGTTCGGCCGATGCACCAGTTTTAGCAACGGGGAGGGTCCTCCGTTGCTAGTAAGTTGAACGTGTTGGTTGATGGATGTCGCTGATGGATGCTGCGGTTGAAGCGAGTGAATATCAGATTTATTATAGAGAATATACAGACAAAGATAAAACAACCTGAAACATGTATACATAAATACAATAATATCACAACAAGAGCATCACTATAATACCGACGTATAACTGCGACTTCAGTAATGGAGGAATGATGAATGAGTAGTCTGCGGGGCCGGACTAGGCGGTGGACCTCGGGAAGCAGTTATGCTTGCCCCAAGCAGACCTTTACACCGAGGGTGGGAACCAGTGGGTGATTAAATATATTGGAAAACTGGGGATCTGTATGAATGGCTGGACCCATCCCCGGTGGCGGGCCAAAGAGAACCCCAAAGGACTTGGTCCACCGCCGTAGCTCCAAGCTCCGCTCACAGAGTATACCACATACACTTAATACGCAGCAACGAGTGCAGAGTCAGAGATCTAGAGTCAGACAGAGGCGGAGAACAAAAGGAGAAAGGTAGCGGAGTATGGCAAGGGAGACACGACCGATCAGGACGCCAGCACGACACGATACTGACTGCTACTCCGCAGAAGTGGGCGGCACTAACCGCCGCCCTGTAGCAGCGAGCGGCGCGACCATTGGTTGGGTCCCGCAGCGATGTTCCTGGCCATGGTATCTTCCACGATCGCTCTCAATTGCTCAGAGAAGTTAAAGCCGTAGCGGAACTGGAAAAAGAGAATTATTTTGTGAGAACTTACTCTTATTTTCTCAAACTTTTGAGCATTTGTTGCTAGAATGGAAAACTGTATGTCCTGGAATTTTACTGTGGCCAGCGAGTTTTTGTAGTTTAAAAGCAGTAATCCACAATTCTGTCATGAATTTTTACTGATTTTCAGAAATACAAGAAAGAGCCTAGAGAAGAAATTGACCCAACTGAATACAAATCGAAAACCTAGTGATGTCGTGTGATTCGGAAACGTTTTTTTTTCACCAGGCAGGACTCGAACCCGCATCTCACGCGTTCCGAGGGGCTTGCTTAACGAATTGTATTACCGGCACCTATTCTGCCGCCTTCTTTCTACGCTACAACCTATCAATCTGTCAGCAGTCGACCAGAAATCAAAATGCGGCGGTTGGCTTTGCTTGGAATTTTGATAAAAGTGTTTTTATTTCCCACATCTGAAAACTCGTAACGACTCTGATGAACTAGACCGAATGTGAAAAACATTGGAATATTGTAGTGGAAATTAGATTGCAGTCCTTTTTTTTTGATTTTCTGACGTTAACCAGTTCTCGTTTATTCCGGCCTTACTTCACTGCCATGATTTCAATTTTTATTCCACATATCATATGCTACCATAACAAGCATTTTATTTTATGAATCTACCAGTCATTTAATGTTATTTGAAACATTTTAAGAATGAAAATAAAGAATTTTTCCTCAATTTTTCATAAATTTCAATTGATAACTATGACTTAGGCGAAATCACGCTGAACGATGGTAGTGTCTGAACAATTCACCAGACTGCATCCTCGTCAGCCTCTCGATTCAGAATGAGCGTTTCTCCGGGTACAAACGGCAGAGCCACTATGCTTCCATAAGAGATTGGCTGAAATTCAATTTTTACAGCGAAACCGACACTGAACAGGAGATGAGATGACCTGAAAAATCAAGCTCGTTGGTGGCACGGTGTGCAATCAATCCATGCATACTCCGATCTGTCAAAAGAAAAACATCAACATCGTCGGCTAAAGTCTTTAAAAACATTTACTTCTGCTTCGCGTATCCCACACTTGGGTTCGTATGCCGTCAGAGTCATTGGACGCTTTCTGGAAAAAAGGGAGAAATAACATAGATGCAAAGCCATAATGTTCCAGTATTTGCGAATCAGGGGCTAAGGAACACAATGCATTTAGCTGCAGTGTAAACAGCTTAAAATTGGCGAGTGGGCAAGTATCAATACAGATCTTCATCCGCATAAAGTCACCAATACACGACAAATGGTGTTGTGCTCTTCGATTGAATGCATTAGCGAGAAAGTCTTTGACGATTCAAGGCATTTGCCATGTGCGTGTAGTAATGCATGAAAAAAGCATCAACACAAGCAATAAATCGCAAGATGCCAGATCAGAAGGATGAATAGAAATTGAAAAAAATGGGGACATGTGGAATATTGGAACGAAATTCGATACTGAGACGGAATTGAGTCATCATTTACGTTTCAATGAGGGGCAGATAAGAGGATGTTTATCAACAGCCATTCGGAAGGATGGACTATTATTACAGCTTCTCATATATTTTGTCGCTAGAGCCAAAAACATCAAATTTACAAAAAAAAAGTGACTAGAATTGCAAAATTATGGTACGGTTCGACTGTGCATTTTTTTGCAAACATTTTGGCTTAAAACTTGCCTATACTTGGTCTGAGATAAAGCTGTCGTGGGAACGAATTTGCTCGCTATTAATGTACGAAAGGCGCGTAGGGGGAGAATGTTACCGAAGCTGCGTAAGGATTATCGGAGATTCCTATGGACAGTCCAAAAGCGACTAATCCTCCAGACTGTTCTCTACAGCTTCGATTTTCGCTGTCCACCTCCTGAAGGTTCTTTCTGCAACCTTATCACCGCCCCAAGCTTCATTAGATCTTGCGCGCCGCCTCACTAGCATCCTCCGCTACATGTCATTCATGCATTAGCAGGAAGCGACAGTTCCATCTTGAAGCAAGTATAGGCAGGTTGTATACCAAAATCTTCACAACAAATACCTAATTGAACGAGGCCAAAATCATACAATTTCAATTACTTCTGATTGATAAATCTGGTGTTTAATGCTCCATTACCAAAATCTATGAGAAGACCTCATTCTAAGCAAAGGCGAGAGGGAAAGGGCTATTATCATTTTTTCCGTGTTTCACTGAACCTCCATGTAGATTACCAAAATTTTGTACGTACTGATGAGCT